TCTATCTATCTATCTATCTATCTATCTATCTATCTATCTATCTATCTATCTATCTATCTCATAAAAAAATATTCAAATTGTCTATGTAGATGTGTGGCTTATAAATGTGAGATAAATAAAAAACTTTTGCATTGTACTCAGAAAAGTCATGTTGATTTCTCTGTAGCACTGAGCTAATGTAGAATAAGAAAATAAAATTAAAAAAATAAGGAAGAATATTGTGCTTCCTTGACCATCCAACAGGGGTCCCTAGAGTAATTTTCTTTGCTTTTTGCCTCTTTATGTGCATTGGTCCCGCCAGCGTTTAAACTTGTGAAGTGATTGTAACTTTTGAGTCACAGTTGTTTCAAGTGGAGTATTTATCAAGTTCTTCAAGGGTTCTGAAAAGCTGTGCTTTGACCTTTGAACTTTCATATGCCACTGCTGTCTCTAAACTCCTAGATGAGTTGCTGTCTCTCCTGGGAAGGATCAACGATTGACATGTTTTCCCCATTTGTGCATGAAGGCTGTCACTTTTGGTACGCTGAATTCCCAGAATTAGACTTAGACCTATAATTTCTGTAACCCTTCTTAGAGTGGTATATGTCGGTGACTTTGGTTGCATCAGGGGACGGTGTCCGGGAGCTGCTGGATTGGATGAGAAGAGGAAGAGCCCAAAGGAGATTCATGGACTTAGTTGAAGAAATGGTTTGTGTAACAGCTGAGACATGTGACATGGAGGCAGTTAATCCACTGTGGCGACCCCTGAAGGGTGCAGCGAAAAGAAGAAGTTATGTTTTAACTTAGAGCCAGGTTGGTTTGGATGCATCTTATTCCTTAATAAGCAAATGCATCATTTGAAGATTGCAAATTTTTATTTGATGCTTTAAAGTGTGACATGGAAAGCCAAAAGAAATCTGTAAAGGAGCAGATACTTTGCTAGGAACACTGACACACTTATATCCTATTTGTATTTTCTTGTACATTTGTTGCTAAGATAACTCCCAGGCACACAGTATCAATTGAATCTCCCCCCCCAAAAAAGACTGGAAATGTAATTCACTGGCCACAGCTGTCATCTGTCACCTGTCATCGACCGCAGTGCTTCGGAGAGGAGAGAAATCGACAATGCTCTGGCAGCTCTGTGCAAATAATGTCATGTCATATTTTTCATTTTTAAAGGTAACAGAAAACTCAAAGAGGAGGATTCTTTTGGACTCTAATTTGAAGAGCTTAAACTTTTCCTCCACTGAAACACAGCAATGCATCCCGGAGAGGTTCAGCAGCAGCACACACATAGAAACGAGCACAGCCAAATACAGAAAGGCCCTTGAGGAAAAGTTACTGGAGAGAGCAGCGACCTGAGACTGGGAGGGCAGTTCAGCTTTCAGCATTGAAATGAGTAAAAGGAAACAAAGCCCCTAACTGCTCAGAGATATTCTGTAATAAACAGGACTCTTACTTTTATTTTTGTAAAAAAAAAAAAATCTGAATGATAAAAATCAGCAGGATTTACCTTTTTCTGACTAGGACTTACTAGTCTATTGAAGGAGACACATTCATAAGTATTTTTTGTAAAATTAGTTTGAAAAGGAACAACTCAAAACAGAATAAGTTTTGAGTTCTCCTGCAGACAACTAAAAAATGTATCTCCCTGTCTATGCATTTCTATATTTAGGGGTTTTGTTTTGGTGCTTCAGAGGAGGCCAATTTTCCTAAACACATTATCATTTTATTTGGTGGTGCCAATTTTTAAGCTGTGCATGTTTATGATACCAAAGATTGTACAATTCCCCCGTAGAACAGCACACAGTAATTGCATTTAAGGTTTTCATTTTAATATTCATATTTATTAATGCTTTTGTGAAACTAGCACTGGAAAAAAAGCAAAAGCTCCAATTTGAAGCAGTTTTTGCAAACCTCATCAATTTGAGTTTATTATTACAATAAATCACAAGTGCTATTATTATGGTTATTGTTTTTTTCCATGCCGATTTAACTAATATTCTCCAATATTGTTGATATTTGTTTTGTGTTTGCGTTTTGTTAGACTCCAGACGAGTATTGATTCTAAGCCTTGTTCTGCTGGAGGATTCCTCTCTACTTTCGCCTCGAGCTTTCCCAGTGTGAAGCAGGGCAATCTGCTGGTTCTTCTTAGAAAGGCAGCTGTTACAACCTGCCATCTTATGATCTCCTGAAACTGATCCCATCATATATAATTTGATGACTATACTGTCGGTAATCGGATTTGAATAGGACTGTGTTTGATTGAATCGGATGAATTTGGACTGCATTGCAAATGATTGGATCCCATCTGGACCGATACCGTCCTGTGCTGAATTTAATTGAACTCTTTTTGACTGTAATTATAGTCCTACTTCTGTAAGATTTAAGATTGACTTTGAGCTGCCTATAGCGCTTTGCATCGGATTGTGAATCAATCAGTGATGAAATCATTTATTGGTTCGAGCAACCCTTTGATTAAAATTTTTGGTTGTGTCCGTCCATTTATATTTTCAGAGATTTTAATATTTTCTTTGCTACGATTACGTTTGTTAGTTGTTTCTTATTATGATATCGTTACAAATCTGCAACTGTGACCGGATGCAGGAAATTAAAAAGAGCATAAAGAGTAGTTTAATTCATCTCTACCTGCTCATTAATCTGATGTGCTTTGAAGAAATTAAGTGTGCAACGTCTGCTATCTTTTACCTGAAAGGTAGGTAAAAGATAGCAGACGTTCCGTTAATCGTCGTGGTTAACGGAACACCTGGGCGCGAACCTTCACGGGGGGCGAGTATTAAAATGACGAGGGGTACGTGAAGGCAGCATTAATTGCGGTAACCTGTCTCCACAGAGGCGTCTCACCTCATTCCGGAGAGACGCCGCCGCTCGGCTGGCTCGGCTGCTTCCTCTGAGTTTCCAGTGAAGAATATCGGAGTGTTTTTTTTGAGGCATCATTCTGAGACAAGAGTTTCACTCCAGCTTCAGTTATTTCTCTGCTTGAAGACCTCTTAGTCTTAAAGATGAGCAGTTTAATGGCGTGTAAGGAGCCGTTTGGTGAGTACCCGGCTTTGTTCATGTCACTTTATGCAGTCTGTTGCTTGCGAAGAGTTTTATATTGTATTTTTTAAGTAATAGTGACCCTTATCAGCACAAAACTCTCCGCACATATATATGTTGCTCATTATTTCCATCTTCTTAAAGCTGTGTATCAAGCGATGCATTTTAGTTCAATTTACTACAGTCACAATATTTATGCTCGTTTCTGTTGTTTTCGTTTTGTTTTTTTGTTTGTTTTTTTACCACCCTGACAAACTGTTAATACTTATTAGTTATCATTTTTGTGAAATGTGGTCGGAAGCCAGCAGATTTGGAAGTAAATGAGCGGGCAGGGTTTGACTCACTCCAACCAAGAAAGTTTCCAGTTTGAATAAATTTCCTCCTTCAGAAAGTGGGAAAACCCACTGACCTTTGTCCAGGTATTACTGCTATCAGATTAGATGTCTGCTGAAGCTGTTCCCTCCCTGTGACCTTCTTGCATCCTGCTGAGTGGAAACGGATCTACGCAGTTTAACCACACACCAGTGATGCGGTGTCCAGCCACACAGGAGGATGAACAGACTCAGCAGAATGAGTTGTCATCCTGTAGGCGACCACACACACTATTACTTCCTGTTTTATTAGCTCATGCGGAAGGACTAGGGTGGTATCATCTGCACACTGACCCCTATTTTTTATATATATATAATATACTGCTAAAAAAAAATAAAGGGAACATTTCACTTTAATTTTGTGTGTGGCTCCAAATCCAGGCCTCCATTGGTTAATAAATTTGATTTCCATTGATGATTTTTGTGTGATTTTATTGTCAGCACATTCAAATTTGTACAGAACAAAGTATTCAATGAGAATATTTCATTCATTCAGATCTAGGATGTGTTATTTGAGTGTTCCCTTTATTTTTTTGAGCAGTGTATATATATTGACTACAGTTAAGAAGAGCTCCCCTTTTCTGTTCATTTGTATGATACATTTTTTGTCAGCTCATTTCAGCAGGACTTAATGCCTCTCATTTTAAGTTGTTACTAATTGAAGCAGTACTAAAATTTATTTTACATTGCGAATCAATTTATTTATAGAACACTACATAAGTCATCTTAAGGCATTTTGAAAAAACGAGAAAGCCAGTTCAAGTCATTCATGCAGACAAAGTCCAAATAAAGTGCATGCAATTCAAAACAATTCAGAGAGTTACCAAACAACACAGTCAAATTCAGTTTATTATTCAGATCAGTTAATTAGTTTTCTGTCTTAAGACCCTGGAGATTCCACTGAGCCATTGACTTGCATCACTCACTCCTTATGGATCAACATGTTGTGACATTTTGTCGTTGACTTTACAGCAGGCCTTCATACTGAGCATGCATGTAATGATAACGGAAAGAAAAACTTTCCTTTTAACAGGAAGAAACCTCCAGCAGAACCTGGCTCGGGGTGAGCCTACATCAGCCCTGGGGATTTATGGTGACAAAGCAGGCACACAAAAAAACACATAAGTTGTGATCCAAGAGTACTTTCTATTTTGAAGAAATGTAAAAAGCTGACAGTTATTACTTCTTTAGTGGCTTCATCTACGAGAGAAACAAAGTTAAACGGAAAAAGCTCTGAGCTGGTTTCCAACATTGTAGGATCAAGGAGAGTACATACCATTAGTCACAGTGAAACCTTCTGTCTAAGAAAGAGATGAGGTTAATCACTGAAAAGTAGGGCAAAGTACGTCATTGAACGTTAGATTCTGCATCAGCTGATGTCTCGCTCTGGGAGGGTGTCACAACTAAGCAGGACATCAAACTAGGCATGAGCGCTATACATTTATTCAGCCTACGATGGAGATCTGTAGTCTACTGGTTAACTATGGTAATGCTTGTTGATGACGTAACTGGCTGGCATCAAAACAGAGCAAGTGGGAAGCACCATGGCTGAAGGTCAATGGAAGACTTTGTTGCAAAAATGTAAATTTTAAGACCCGGCAGTCTTGGTGTGATGCTCAGGAGGAGCACGGAAAATGTCATTATTAGACAACGACTAAGCACCATGGGGAGGGGTGACGGTCTGACAGTCTTTCCAGAAACCACATAAAAAAAACCTTGGACAGGGTAAAAAACTTGTGTGGTTTTAATGGCTCTGTGTCTTACGACCATGGGAGGGTCAAACAGTGAAACCAGGAGCAGAAAAAAGTCATCTGCAGTTCGTGGAACAGAGAAAATACAAGCATTATGCTTTACCACCCTAAAACGAAGCATGTGCTTTAATTCCAGCAATGCCAAGCAAGCACAACTCTCTACAAGTTCCAGTAACAATACTGAGAAGAAAAGGCAGGATTTCACACAGACATCCATTACATTAAAGTTATTGTTTTCTATATGGAGATACATTTTTCATATAAATATGTCTGCTGGGAATTATATTTGGGAATTAGTTTAGTTCATACAAACTGATTATTGTTGCTGCTGCTGCTGCTGCTGCTGCTGTTGTTGTTGGTGGTGGTGGTTGTAGATTTTTATTTTTATAAACGCATTTGGAAAAAAATCAATTGTGTGTTCTACCAACATCACATTGGTGTAATAAATTGTAGAAAAATCCCTAAAAGTAGAACTCCAGGCTGTTTAATAGTGAAAGTAAGCTAATTTTGTACATTGTGAAGGGATGGTGACTGAACATCTGTGTAGCCTTAAGAAAACTACTAATCAATGAGGCTAACCAAAGAAAAGGCTGCAATTTATTAGAGAGCATGACAATTAAACTCCAGTGCAATGGAAGGAGGTCATGTGATCTGATGAATCTGGATTCCAGAGTGATGGGCATGTCAGGGTAAGAAGAGGGGCTGATGAAATGATGTAGCCGTCATGTCTAATGTCTACTGTAAGAGTAGGTGGGGGCAGCACCATGATCTGGGGTTGCTGCAGTTGATCAGGTTCAGTAGCATTGGGTCATTGAGGCCAGTTGACTACCTAAATAAGTGTGACCAGGTGATGCTATCAATGGATTTCTTCCTTCTCTGATGGAATGAGGATATTCCAGGATTCATCAGGGCTCAGATTGAGTGCATGGTTCAGGGTTCATCAGACATCAGCTTCATCACAGAGTTCAGACCTTAACCCCATTGAGAATCTTTGCGGTGTTCAGTGGAAGGGTCGGAGGTCGGACTCTCCCATTAACATTACAAAAGCTTGGGGAAAAAAACCCAAATCCAATATAATGGAGGGAAATGAATCTTGTGACTTAGATCTATATTCATGTCCCAATGAGCAATTAATATTACAAGTCTCAATAAAAACACAACAAAAAAAAACACACACACACCATATCAATGTCTCGTGCCAAAAGAACAAAAAGACAAATCAAATAAACAGACGTGATTGCGCCCAACTCCAGGGTCAATTACTCATTCATGGGTGGAGGTAATGATATACATCATGATACAATTTGTATAAAACTTGCAATAGAGTTAAAACTCGTCTTACACTCAGTTTTGTGCATGTTAGTTTGTAATGTTTAACTGTGTTTTTAATGATAGGCAGCAGCTTAATCTCAATGATGACTCCCTGGTTAAATCAAACATAAGTAAATAAATTAAATATATTTTCTATATATAAACACAGCAACTTTAATGTAATGGATGTCTGTGTGGAATCCTGCCTTTCCTTCCCAGTTTTGTGACTGGAACTTGTAGTGAGCTGCACATGCTTTGTTTCAAGGTGGTAAAACAAAGTGCTTGTATTTCTCATCTTCCACACACTTTGCAAATATTTATTTTTTTGCTCCTGGCCTGACGGTTTAACCCTTTTTCGGTCTTAAGAGACGGAGTCATTTAGACCTCACAAGTTTTTTACCATGTGCGAGGTCTCACTGAGCCTATGTGCGCTTTTACAAGGTTTTCTTTTAGTTGTTTCGGAAAGACCATCAGACCGTCACCCCTCCTGACTGTGACATTTGCCGTGCTCCTCCTGAGCATCATGATAAGACTGCTGGAGGTCTGATAGATGGGTTCCATTGGACCCAGCCTGCTTTACCGTGTGCTCGCACTGATCCTGCATGCACTTTTATCCCTAGTTTCCTTGCTGTCTGACCATGACATCGGCCGCGCTTCTTCTGAGCGTTGCTCTAAGACCACAGGAGGTTAAACCTGAACCAGGTCCAGATAATTTACATTTTGCACGTCTTTTTAATGAGCACTTCCTTTGCACTTTCAGCTATGCTGCTTTCCACTTCTTCTGTTCTGATGCATGCCGTCATCAACAAGCATTGCCACTGTTGCCAGATAGACTACACCTCTATCATAAGCCAAATTTCTATTGTTTCTGTGGTATTCTGTTTATATCTAGCAATCCTACTTTTTACCTGCTTGCTTGCGAGAAACGGTACAAATTAAAATCTTTCTTTATATTGTGTATTTGTGTCAAAGCCAGATAATTGTCTGAAAGTCACTTGTACTATTTTCAGTTATCTGCATAAACTCTAACGAGGTTTATATTTATCAGCTGCTGTCTTCTCTTAAAAAAAAAAAAAAAAACCAACAATTTCCTGCCCTGTGCTCTACCAGTATACCACAGAGGCTGATTACCTCCTGTTGGTTCAGGCATTGCCAACTTTGTTTTCCTGCCCATCGTCACCTGAGCAACTTACGGTCTTGTGTTTGAAGTCGGATGATCACCATAATCACCATGTTCTTAATCATACTTCAGGTTAGCAGGTGTTTCAGGTGCAGTCCAATGTGATCCAAGCATGAACAGCAGCTCCTTCAACAATTACTGTATTAAGTCTACAAGAGGACATGTATGTGTTTTTTTAACACCTATTTTTGTATGAAAGCTGAGTGAAACCACACCTGCACCGACATGTCAGTTAGAACTCAGTGATGCTTTCACACCTTGCAGCTCTGTCTGTGGAATCATGGAGAGAGTCAACTCACACCTCTGTAGATGATAATCTGAGCATTTTGTAAACTTCTTTTTTCTTTTTTTCTTTTTTTTTGTTGATGTAACTTGTAGCTGAGGGGTCATGGTAGCAAATATTTTCAGACCACCCATCTAGCGTATGGTGACAAATAACGCCCACTGCAGAGAATGACTGCCTGCAATTCAACACACAGGTTAAAAACCATCTGTAAGTGAACTTACAGGTCAGACGGGGGTTCAAGCACCATTATTATGGCTTATTTGAACTAAACAAGCCCTACATTTTCTCTGTGCTTGTAATAAAACCTCAAATTTCTTCACAAAGCAGTGCCCCAGCATTTTGGATTGGTCTGTTTTGGTTCCAATTTTTTTTTCATCCGTTTCCAAAAAAATAGATTTGATATCTTTAATTTGGAAAACATCCTTCACACATATGTAGAAAGTGTCTCTAAAGCCACAAGAGGCTTGGTGTTTATCAGTTTTATACGCCATTATAGGCGGCAATTGCTAGCAAACTGGTACACAGGGTCATTGGTTGGAGAAAGAACCAAGGTCCTATTTGGGCCAGTATGGAGCTTGTTGGCTGTCCAATTACATTATTGAGTTCGTGTACACTAGTAGACTGACAGCCCCAAATTGTAAAACCTGTTGGCAAACATTTTCTGGAAATTGGGTTCCAACTAAGAACATTTCTGTTTCAAAAAGATAGGCGCGTTTCCCTTGTGGTTAACAGTCAGCTTTCTTGACACAAACTAACAAAAAGTTCAAGGTTTAACTTAAAATGTTCTAATCTTAAGGGTTTGCTTACTAGCTTAGTTTGTCATTAATAGTTTAGTTTATGCCATTAAAATAAATACAAAAAGCATTCACATCTATAATATAGTAAATTACGTCACATTTGCTCCAGATCCTTGTGTAAAGGCAGTATATCAATTTTATTTTATTTTTTATTTTTTAATCAAGATTCAATTCCCATTTCTGGGGGAACTAAAACTAATTTGCAATGATATAAGACATTAACATTGAAATGCCCAAGGATTTCTGGCACCCTAGGGTGTTTTCAAACCAGTTAGTTTGGTAGACTTGGTTCCATTGGGGACCAAAATTGCCACATTTGTTAAATTTTCAGCTGTTATAGTTCTCTTTCACACTGCACTGTCAAACCAAACCCTATGAAAAACTTGTTCACCCGCTCACCTGTGGGGGTGCTGCACCAAGATTCACTGCAGGAAACGAGATGAAAACCTCAGAAGAAGACACTGAGCGCAACTTATTTTTTCACGAAATTTAAACAAATATGAACTGGTGTTAGATTTCAGTGGCTGTGGCTCAGGTTCAGCTATCTTTAGCAACTCTTTTGTCTTCCAGTTCACTCAAGTCCTTGGAAATGCCGCTTGTGATAAAGTCACACAAAATGCATACGTTCCTCGTTTGTGGATTAAATAAACATAAACAGGACAAAAATAACAAGTACAATGCACCTCTGTATTGTTTATCTTCTCTGTTTCAATTGATTGATTAGGCTATTATAAATATTGGTTTAGGTTTAACCATACATGCTACGGCATATTTTTATGTCAGTTCAGCCTGTGCAATAGCTTTTTTTTAACATCACTGTTGTCAGTGGCATGGAAATTATTTTGTTAGTTCAATACGGCTTTTTATTCATCTTTTAAAACAATTTTCCTTTATTTTGTACAGTTGGATGTAAAAATTCTTATTTAGTTGACAAAAATGACTGGTTATCGTCATTCAGCCATATACATTCTGATTCTCTGTAGAGTCAGTTTCAGGTTGATGTGATTACTTATATTTATCTTGATTTCTATTATGGAAGTCTTAAGCACTTTTTTTTTTCTTAAGGGTCGGTGTTCAGTTCTGTGAAAAAACATCAGTAAAGGAAGGAGGAACACAGTTTGGTTGATTTTGGGTATTTGAGGAAAAGGGAAACTAAGACTAATACCAAGACAGGACAGAGAGCTGTGCCACCAGCAGCTGATTCAACATGTCTAAAATATAAAGTGTCAGACAGTCATCACAGAAGATTGTGATAAAAACCTCATCTCAGAATGTATAATAAATCATTAATATAACATACCACACCCTGTTTCACTGCTCTAGTTAAGTTACCTGTAATGATCATGGACATTGTCCAAGTTCTAATAAGCCACTGAAATTCAATTTTGGCTACTAATATTTATATGTGGCTTATTCAAATTAGCAATGGCGGCCAATTCCTTTTGAATCAGGGATAGATTTTGGCAACTATACCAAACTCTTCCCATTTGATGCTGGCAAAATCACAAACCTTTCTAAAATATTTTTGTGTTTTAATTCTTCATTAACTTTTGGAAAATTATATAAGTGGCTTACAAATGTCATTCATGTGAATGTGTGAGATATTATTGTGACACTGTTTCACTATGTTTGCCCACCACTTTGAAAATTGATCATAAACTCAACATCTCACTTTCGATCTGTGTAGTGCAACGGCAGGTGTCCTTTACAACCAGCCAAAATGTGCTGAAACAGAGGATTTGATCACCCCGCCCCAGCCTGTTGTCTTCTGATCCAACATGATTCAGACTGTGTTTCCATTGAAATGGTACAAATTGGAGTTTCATCCATCCATCCTTTAAACATGCTTATTCTCATATTGGTGCCAGAGGGGGCTGTCTCCACCGGTCATCAATCGAGAGACAAGATACACCCTGGACAGGTGGCCAGACCTGGTATTACAAAAGTAAATTTTCTTAATGGAAACACTGCAATTTAAAAAAGAAGAAAAAAAAAAACTAAAAAATGTGTTTTGATGAGGTTTTTGTACTATCATATTGTATTGAAACTGGTGTGTTTCACAAAACTTCAAAGTCACATTGCATGAGTCACTCCAGATTATAAACAGCAGCAAAGCGCTTAATTCCTTTTGCGATGGGCAGCTGACTTCATCTCACAGCTTCGCTCAGTTCATCAGAAGTTGAGTCATTTGAAAGTGTGAATCCATAGCTCTTCTGTAAAACCACTGACTAGTTTCCCCAAAACACCTGCCAGCGTCTCTGTTGGCTTCTGGATGATGAGTGCTAGTGCCACTGCTGAAGTCTGAATATAATCAGGGATTTATTGCATGAGCAAACTTGTTCACATGTGATTTTCATTGCATTTCTTATTTAATCAAAACACTTTTAATTGCAAAATTAAGTTGTTTTTTTTGTTTTGTTTTGCTTTTTACATTAGAAGAACATCAACAAACTGTTGCTCACATTTCTATTTTAAACACGGTTACTGTAAGAAAGCTACATTGTGCATTTTACAAAACCAGAGTTTAGTGGAACGATTCAGGAAGAAACTTCCAGCAGAACCAGGTTCAGATCAAAACATGCTGAGGATTATGCATGTGTACTTCTTGCACGTATTACAAACATTGAAAGTGTTTAGACGCAACCATGAAGACTGTGGCAGAGCTTAGCTAGGGGAAACATTGATGCTCATTTTGCATAACGTTCAGGTTAATGCTGCTGTTATAAGCCACTCCCCTTTTTTCCATTAACCTGCTGCATGTTCTGAAAGCACACACAACCCACAATCAGAATGAGTCAGTGAAACACAGGAGGGCTTACAGATGTGTTTTTATTGTGGGACCACGAAGTGAAAGGGGCTACAACCAAAGGAATCCATGTTATTCTTGGTTTCTTACACCAGATATGCAACAGGATTTGGATTTTGAATGAAATGAAACTGTTTTGAGCATTTTGGCAAAAAACTTTCTGCCTGCAACCCAAAACAGTGGAGCGAAGTGTCTGATGAAACTTGTGCTGCTCAACCAAAGTGTCAGATTGGATGAATGAGTGCAGGTCTTTGATTTTCATGTCTCTGCAGGCCTCGCGCTACCACACCTTACAACCATCGCTCTGATTAAAAGCATCAAGCCACTTCAAAACACCACTTACCATTTTTAATTCCTCCTTAGGAACATATTTGACAAATTGCATGTATTTACAAGTTTCGGTTTCTTAGCTCTCGGAAAATAAAGAATGACTAAAGAAAGTCTTTTAAAATGCTTTCAGGAAATATCCATCTAAAGCCTCGGTATTACCAGCCGACCGCCTTGCAGATGGGAGAAACAAGTAGAGCTGCAGGGTGTTGACAAGTACCTTCTTGCTTTTTTTGCTTTGAATTTTTTTTTTTTATGTATGTGATCTATTTTGATCAGGTGACATGTGACTAAAGAGATAGTATAAACATAAACACACTGACTGTTAGAGGCACACTGCTCACTGACTTTGTGGAAGTGGTGTGTGTGTGTGTGTGTGTGTGTGTGTGTGTGTGTGTGTGTGTGTGTGTGTGTGTGTGTGTGTGTGTGTGTGTGTGTTTATAGCTCCTTTCAGTCTAGACACTGCCGTGGTCTGGGTCAGGTATTGGCATGCCATTCACCTCCATTCATGTGTGGAAACAACCACATGTCAAGCAAGGGCCCACTTGGCTGCTCTTTCATAGCAGACTTGGGTGGTCAAAACAGTGAAAAGCTGGGTTCACCTGCATGGAATTACGGCCCTGAGCAATGAATTATGATGTGGTTTATATTTCATCTCTTGAACTGTATCCAAAGCGTGCAGGTACATGCTCTCGCATTCCCAGTAAAGCTGAACAATGCTCCACTGATCTTGGCTACAACATACATTTGATAACTAGGTGCCTTAAACTAAAAGAAAAGCAATGGCATGTAAGCCCGGCCAAAGTAAGTTTAGTTTGAGCTATTGAATTGAAGTTTTGGGATAGATTAGGACTGTTTTTTTGTTGTTGTTGTTTGTTCTCTTCTGAGCTTTGAAACCTGACTCTTCAAATGTCATGCAGTTGATTTTTAAAAATATGTATATTTCAAGGATTTCAGGTTGCAAGTGTTGTTGAATATATTCGTACAAATGAGTCAAACATCAAGAGAAGACAACTACAGTGGAGGAAATAAGTATTTGATCCCCCCACTGATTTTGAAAGTTTTGTACTCAGTCTATGATTTTTCTGGTAGCTTCATGTAAGAGGTGGGATATCAAAAGAGAATCTAGAAAATTAAATGATATTTAAATACAAAATTATTTCATTTCGTTAAGGGAAATAAATATTTGATCACCTGACAACCATGACTAATGTTGACTCCCACAGAGACACCCTGATCTCAGTGATGTTGTTACCTGCATGAGAAACATTGATCCTTATATGAAAGGCCACCTGCTAACAAACTCAGTGACACTCCAACATCTCCATCATGGGCACGACTAAAGACTTGTCTAAAGTTGTCTTTCCTGACCTCAGTCCCACAGAAAATCTATGAAGAGAGCTAAAGCTTTGCACTTCCAAAAGAATGCCTAAAAACCTTAAGGATTTGGAGATGACCTGCAGAGAAGAGTGAGCCAAAATGACTCCTAAAGGGTGTGCACACTTTGTTCAAAAAACTACAGGAAACATCTGACTGCTGTGCTTGAAAACAAGGGTTTGCCACCAAGTATTAAATTATCTTTTACTTGGGTGCCAAATACTTATTTCCTTCAATGGAATTCAAATTCACTTTAATTTCTCATTTCATGTCATTTTCTCAGTTTTTCTTTTGATATTCTATGCCAAAAGAATATCAGTAGATATTCTTTTAATATCTTTATTTCAACAAAAGAAGAATGTCATAAAATTATGGTCTTTTTAAAGTCGGTGGGGGATCAAATACTTATTTCCTTCACGGTACATAGTGAAACAAGTTAATCAAAGACGGACTTTATTTATATAGATGGGCTGGCCAAACCTTATGTCATATGAACGGTTTTACATGGTGGTTATGGTGATGCAAAGTCTTTGCGGCTCTCTGAGGATGTATAGTTGTACTATACATACACATACCTGTCAAGACTCCCGTTTTGGCCGGGAAAGTACCAAACTTTACTCCTCCGTCTTGGCGTGCTCCCATATTAGTATTTTCCTGTAAATTTTCTGTTTTACAGTAATTATGCTGCTCTGTCAATAGTCACCTCTCACTCATTTAGCAGTAGTCTGTAGTCTTACAATTGCTTCCTATCTGCTCTAAAACCTTCAACGCTCCGACGGCAATATTCTCAAGTCCACAACTTTTCTGCAGATTAACGTGAACTACAGCTTAGTTTCTCTTTTGTCTTCAACCAACCAGCATCTTCTTTGGTGGAACACGTTTATTTTTAAGCTGCTGAACGTCCATTCAAATTCAATTTGACTGCAACAAATCTGAATTGTAAAAATCTAAGTTGTTGCTGTGTGACATGGTAACGGCTTCATATCTGAACAGCAGATACGATATTTCATAGTAATATGTCCCAAATGACACTATTAGTTCTTGACAGCTCTGCTATCACATCTTGTTTTACATCTCTGTCTGGCCGTATGGTTGGATAGCCTCTCCGTGAATTTAAGTCGCCACAAAAATATTTACTGAAGACCTGAGTGGGCATTGTGTTTTCCACTGGTGTATAAGTTCAATCGTCATCAACTACCAACTGCATTCTCATCTGCCCTGACCTTATTTTGTTCATGGATTTTTGTGCATATCTCTTGATTTCAGAAGCAGAACGAAATACAACTACCACAAGCTAAAAAGAAACGTTAAAATTATGTCTTTACACAAGTATTTTATGAGCAAGCGTAGCTGATTTGATGGATCTTAATTATACAACACATAACATCTGAAACCTGTGACCTTCTCTCAGCAGGTTAGGACTTGTTGTATGGTGTTCTACCTAATCAAACTTCTTCACATGCTGTGGAGGAGGATGAATTTCATTTAATTAGCTTCCATTTGCCGTAAGGCTACTCTTTCTTCTCGATACACAGGTGTGGATCCTAAAGGGAGGGCTACGCAAAGATCAGAAAATGCTTCCAAATTCATTCATTTCCTCCTCGCAATGTCAACAGTGTTGAGTATATGCATTAGGTTTTGATTTTGCGACATGTATTACAGTCAATCAATAAATTTTATTTATGGAACACCCAGCAGCTCAAAGCGCATTACAGAATAATAAAGAATTGACCCACAAGATAAAAACAAACGGTATCCTCCCCTCTCCAATGTGTGGAAAAACACAATTGTGTGGAAAGTGCACAGAATGTATTCCACAGAATCATAAGATATTAAAGCAATCATGCTATGATGACTGGATTGGAAAGTAATACTTTTGTGGCCTGAAGCAATGACTTAAGTGTGAATTAGTTGTTGAATGTGCTACTCTGGTTTTGAGTAAATTTACAGGCATCCCTGCTTTCACAGCATCTCGCCGTAGTTTGTCAAAGACGGCCTTTAGTAGTGGGGATGTGCATCATTTGAATATTTAGACGAAGTGCATCAGAATTTACGTATGCAATTGTTTTAATTGTCTCTTAAGCACCTGTTGCGAGCATGAAGGGTGATGTTTCTTTATGAGTTTATCGTAACGTTCTGGATGCATCGTCTGCTTTGTCACAAAGAGCCCAGACTGCACGATGTTGTTCAGGGAGCTGCTTCGCAAATCCAGCTGAACAGGGACAGGTGACAAATTTTAATGTCAAGCTAATCTTGCTTTGGACCAACTGATTCTAATTGGCTGAAGGGATTTCCTCTTTCCACCAAAGATCACTTAAGCAAAATACGTCATGATGCAGAGAAATCTATATACAGATTTTTCACTTCCTACTTGCATGCTGTATTTTCCTTTAAGATATTAAAATACCAGTAAAATGTACACAGAAGGGATGTATTCTTTTTAAATAAGTTAAAACAAGTAAGCCTGTGGCTAATTTGAGCAATCTTTGAATAAGGCACAGGTCAAGAAGTACAATAAAGAACAATGTGTGCTGTTAAAAAAAAACCCCATAAAAACATTAAAACAGTTGTGTACAGGATTGCTTTTTTACTTGCACATTTCAAGATGCAGTCGGTTTGTTTCTTTCTGGAGATGACAATAGTGAAAGTCCTGTGGAAGCAAACAGCATCATTATAAACATTTCCTAGTAGTGTGGGTTTGTCTAAAGAGGATGTGACCGTGGGGATTTACCTTTCTTTTTCTGGCAGTCACTTCCTGACTGGCGGTCACTTCCTGACATATCTGCCATTAACAAATGTTACCAAATTTAGAAATCAACAGCAAGTGTGATTAATACATTTTAATTTGATTACCAGTAGGTGGCAAAAGCATTTTCTTGCATACAAGAAGGTTGAACAGGTGATGCAACATTACTCCATACATGAATTATTTAGATGCTTTGTAATTAAGACATTGTGATTTGACAGATTTCTATTTGGGAGCAAAATGTTACACAGTAAACTTTTTTTTTTACATTCGGAGAGCAGTTCTTATTGACTGAATCAATAAATCCACATGCAATTTTTTATTATTATAATGTACAACAGTTTCTGCAAATTGGAGAGGTGTAGAAGAATAAAGGAGCAGAGTGTGGAGAATTTCAGTTTTTCTTCTGGTGGATAACTACAGAAACGGAATGAATTAAGCCAGTCTAACTATAAACTTTATCAAAAAGGAAAGTTTTAAGCCTAGTATTAAAACTAGTCTTAAAGGGACAAGGAGCTGGTTCCACAGGAGAGGAGCCTGATAACTGAAGGATCTGCCTCCCATTCTGCTCCTGACCTGCCGATTCCAATTTTGGCCAATATCAGTTTTTTTTTTTTATTATTTATTTTTGTCTGAAAAGTTGCTAAATATAGCAGCAAGTCGCTAATTTGGAAACAGCAAAGTGAATGTTGTTAACGGTGCACATGCAGATAACTGGTGAGCGGATCTGCCAATCAGGGACAGTGGTTGAATATCAGACCTTTGTGTTTTAGTCTCTAAAGAGCATCAGTGTGGTCTCGTCTTGTACTTTAAATTTCCACAAGCAGTCATGATTTTTGATCTGCTGAAAGAACGTTTAGTACATGAGTTCACTGCTCTGCAATCAACCACTTGATGACTCATCTAAAACTATGGAGATGTTTTAAAATGATTGCTGCATCTTGTTAATCTTTCCATCAGGACCTGTGTATTTCTTAGTTTTTGGAAAAAATCAGTAATCATTCCAGCATTCAAAACAGGAAGTCAGGACTTTGTGGAACTATGGCCCGTTAATAATTTCATCAGGCTTATCTCAAGGATGTGAAAATGTAGTAGCATAAGTGATAGTATTTAGGACCCAGATATCTCCTCCACCTCCTGCAGGTTTGGTTCAGATCAGGTAGTTTCACTGAAAACTGATCCCTGGATCATATTATTTGTTTCAAACTGATCAGAAACTACATACCAAGTCAGGCAGCAGAGCAATGCATGCATTCTATGATTTTCTCTCAAATCATATTGCATGACAGCGTGGACACAGGCCTCTCCTACTGTTACCAAATGCATAAAAGCATAGACAGACAGAGTTGCAAACTCTGTCTGTCTATGCCATCTGATTTTAAGACCAAAACTGACATTAAGATATTTATTTTCAGGCTTAGGAATTGGCTAAAAACGAACCAGAACTGCAATCATTTATTGTGGTTGTTCTGAGTAAGTAGTCTGAAGACATTGTTTGATATCTCTTTAAATGAAAAGTTAAGATTAACAGTAAAAAAAAACTAAAAAAAAACGAATCAGTATTTTATTGTTTTTACCGTTAATCTTCACTTTTCAATGAAATGAAGTGTAAGGGCTGTCTGGGAGCAGCTATTGGGAATTAGCCACGGCTGTAAACACTGTGATGGAGGCATTAGATCGTTTTGATCTGCTTATTGTATCTGCACCTGTCAAATAAACAATAAAATAAAAATAAATTGTGTAATTTTGCTTCAGACTGTCATCAGCTCCTAACAGATATGTCCATGTCATGAACCCTTGTAGTCAAAACTTTAGCTTAAAAACACCTGCAGATACTGGAATTGCATGAATATGTAGCAGTCTATATTGTATCACTTTAGCTGATCTGACTGGTGTTCAGCTTGTTCTTTTTTTTTTTTTTCCTCTGTCTGTAGCTGGACAGCTGAAGGTAGGAAACATTTGATAACTTAATCCTAATTGAAGGTTTCTGTTCAAATGAGCTTTTTCTTGCTCAATGAGGGTAACTCAAGAAAGGCCAAGGCTGCTCTTTATTTTGGAGCTCTTTGGATACAATGACTTACAGTGATGTAGAGTGATGAAGGCCCACATTGCCCCTTCCAGGTATTTTCTGCTGATGAAAAGGCTCCTTTGTGCTTCTCTCCCAATACCTGCCCAAATGTCGCTGGTAAAATTCCTCTTAAGGACCAAGGTTACCTGTTTTTTTTTTTTTTTTTGTTTGTTTTTTTGTTTTGTTTTTTTTTTTAGTAATTTTTATGATGAATATTTTTCTTTTTCTTTTTTTAAATCCAGGAAATTTTTATATTCGCCTTTTAGATTAAATCCACCCTCACAGGTTGTACACATGTACGATGTCAGTGCTTTTACAATGTAAGAAAGCAGCATGGAACAAAACGGTATGTCATTCAAAAAGGTGCTTTTCGATCATCTGGAATGGAAATGAGACGCCTCTCGGTTTTTGAAAATTCCCCAGGGTTTTTTTTTTTTTTTTTTTGCTTTGGATCTCTTACATTTCTGCTGAAGTCCAAGGCACTTGGTGGATTAAACAAACGAGGTCTGCTGACGTGTGTACAGCAACTCCCACTGTTCATCTTGCCAATAATTGTTGTTTAGTTCTGCTGCCTTCAGAACTACATTAAGCACACATCATGCATGGTCCTCCACTGCAGGAAGTGGTTTTCCTGTGTTTTGAGCAAGTAATGCTTTGACATTTCGTAGAAAATTATTGAAATGACTAGAGATTAAATGAACATGCTTCTTTTCTTTCTTTTTTTTGTCTTAGTTGTTCCAGACAGAGGCATTTCTGAACCTGTTGAGGACACGGACACCACCAGCTTTGTGGCAGAGTTTGTAAGGAGTATTTTTTATTTTTTTATTTTTTTATTTTCTCATCTCTTCCTGCCATCAGTAAACCATGCCACTGTTGCAACTTGCTCCCTGTCCAGTTTGTTTTTGTGATGATTATACATTGTTCTCAATTGGAAAGCTTTGCAAAGTCTTGCAGTAATCTGCTAAGAAATGTACCAGAACTGAACACACTGTGCTGCGACTGCCAGTGCCAGAGGGCTCATCGCAGAGCAAGTCATGGCAGGCTGCTCTGCGTCTCTGCATACAAGAGAGTCATTTTGTTCGGCCTTGGCAGAAGCAGAGCTTCTCTTCCTTAATTAGTCTCGGCTTTGTTCAGATGTAATGTGGTCGTGTTTGTCCTTGTCTCTCCTGCAGTCCTTGGAGGCCAATTATCCTGTCCAAGTCACAGATCCCCACGGTAATAAATGCTCTTACAAATTTGGTGTGTTATGCTGAGCATGTGTAGACAGTTTTAGTCAGGAATATAATGTGCTGCACCAAAAACCCTAAAGAGTCATTCAATAAATTAAAATATTACTGACGGTTTATTTCAAGAACGTCATGACCAAGTGACACACATCAAGTGGATTAATTACACTTAGGTGGAAATGTGAAAGCCTTTGTTTTTGTTAATCGATGATTTTCCACTCACAGGTAATGAAGACATCACATTTAAAATTAGGATTTTACATCAGATCAATAAAAAATCGATTTTTAAAAACAGACATGTGGACTTAAGGAAGCATATGTTTAATACCTCCTTAAATGTTATTTTCAAAAGGTCCATTTAATCCAACAAAAGGGCCTCAAATGATTACATAATCTAATGTATTAAATCTGACTGTAAGGAGTTACAAAGCAAAAAAAAAAAAAAGTTTTGGAAATGGGTAGTTGGCAGTAAAATTTGTTGCACCAAAAAGCCTACTTAGTAAATCCAGCTGACCTCTAGATGAGGGCCATCTAATTCTCAGTTAAATGATTTTTTTCCCCACATCATTAAAAATAATGTTTATTAACAATTTATTTGTCTTTCTACATATTTGAGAAGTGAATATAAAGCAGATGCTACACTTTCAATCAACATGGCAGAATGTAAAAAAAAAAAAAAGTTTAAAAAAGAAGAAAAAAAAGAGCCCTCGTGTCCGCCTACCTCCAAAATCCCGTCTGTCAGTCATAGACACATTTAGAGATGAAGTGTATGTTCTGCAAATCCAAAGTGGGTTCCCTACAATAACCAACGGCCAGAGTGTTCCCTGTTTGGAGAATTAGATGACATTTCACATGGAGGGTGTTAAGGTTTTATTGCTTCTCAAAGTTAAAACAACTCAAAAGTTTCATGTTGCATTTGCAAAGGTGCAGACATTGTATTTTATAATGGAAAAATGTTCTACATTTGCTTTCACCCTCTTACTACCCTCATCTCAACATTTTTAACTGATTCAACCCTTCCTCTGTATGATGTTTTTTTTTTTTTGTCCATTTCTTTGTTCAAAACGGAAAGGAAAAAAAAATGGGTTCAAGAGTGAACATTTCACCCTCGTGTTCATGCATGTAATGAAAATCTATCTTTTGCATAAACGTATTAGCCCAGTCCCCCAGCTGGACCCACAGCCTCAAACGTGTCATGCATAACAACAGCAGGAGCTGATCATGTCACATGGAGATGCTGCAGCTCCACATTAGGGATTCTCAAAACATTTCTGAAAATCATTCCATGTGGACACAAATGATTCTGAAAATGACAACCTATCTTTAAAAAAACAAAATCATTCCCATGTGGGCAGAGCCTCAATGCAGACAAGATTTGCAAAAAATTACCATTTTTTGACCTTGACACTGTTATTGCAAAGTCAAAAACCAACAGTAATACCCACAGAAGCTCTTCTGTAAGATACTGACTGTTCTTGAGAAGCTCACAGAACCCCACTTGAGCTAAAGCTTATGTGCAGGATCTATTAGGGTAAATAAAACTCAGACATTAGAAGAATGAGACTTGACATTTAATGCTGGGTGGTTTGATATTGGTGGTAAAAAAATCTCTGCCAAAAGGTTCCAGATAAAATTCTCTTAAGCCTAAATTTTTGTCTCCCAATCAATCAATCAAAACATGTATGTGAGATGCTATTTAAGATCCACAATCTGCCAGAATAGAAATTACAAACTGAAAAAGAGATTCTAAATAGAGCCTCGAAGGTAAAGTAAAAACATTCTCTGTTGTTAGACAGTTTTAGAAGTGGCCACGGTTTACATGTCTCTCTTCTAATACGAGGAAAACATCTAATCCTGTGTATCCTGTAATATTTGCCTGGCAGATGCTGTGACACTACATCTTAGCTCCATGGCCTCTGGGTACCTGCACCCCTCCTCTCAAGACAAGATCAGACAGGTCAGTTGGACCATGGTGTTCTTTTTCCAAGCTGTATTTGCCTTAATTTGCTAGGACAGCATCATGTTACCATTTGAAATATTATCTTTAGGTTACAGTCAATTTGCACTGGGGTTTGGCACGCAAAAAGAGCACATTGTAAAAAACCTCAATTATTCAAAAGGCATAAGGACAGATACAGGAAAAGAAGAACTAACCGAATGTCCCAAGGAAAAAATGTGCAAAACTGCTGTTGTACTAGAAAAAAGGTTGTCATGAAAGGAATTTCAGGAATCATATAACCAGCAAACTGAGTGCTGTTTTAAGTTCTAAGTTTGAGAGGGTGCAAGAAAAAACTTTGCTTCGGCCGTGAGATTAAAAAGTGCAGCGGTGCCTTGTTCATGTTGAGAGAGTTCTCAGTGCTGTTCGACTAGCTGGCTTAGCAAAAATAAAAATCTATATAAAGCACCATGCAGTGTCAGTATGATCACTTAACCACAACGAAACACAATCAACCAGCCTGTCAAATGCTGGGAGGTCTTAGTCTGAACCCATGTTCAGAGGTCAGAAGGTCATTCTTATCCCAAAATCACTAATGGTGAAGATGAAGGTGGGAAAATCATGGTGCTGGGATTTTTTTTTTTTCAGCTAAAATAGTGGAATATTGTGAAAAAGATTTAATATTTTCTGTCACTCATTTCATAAAATTTAACTCGTATAGACTCATTACACATGGAGTAAAAATATTTTTGTAATTTTGAGGATAATGGCTTATGCATAACGAAAATCCAAATTTCACAGTCTCAGAGATTTTGACTATTACATAAGATCAATAAAAAAAAAAGAATATTTCAAAAAGAAATGTTAATCTTCTGAAAAGAAGGTTCATTTCAGAGCTCTGACGGGTTTAAAGGTCAGGGGAGCTTGCTTTGCCAATCAGGCTCAGTTCCACCATGGTCACTGCAGCAGCTGCTGCTCTTTCGGAGTTTGGGTCGGAACCAAGTTCTGCTGGAAAATCAAGTTTGTCAGCAGAGGGAAGCATGAAATTCTCTAAAATGTGCTGGACGATCTGCTGAGTCGACTAGACTTCATAAAAGTGGACCAGAACCAGCAGATGACATGGCAGCTCAAACTGTCACTGTAGAAACGTCACTCTGGACCTGGTATAGAACCCACAGGTTAGCTTTACTGTTCTCTGCTGGACCACACACAGGATGAATGAGAACAACAGAACCATCATCATCTTCAGAACAATTGTAATCACAATGTTAAGGCTGGACATGTTGCTAAGAGCCAGTAGTTAATGCTGCTTGAACTGAACCATTTTTATCATTAGATTCACAAACTAACATGCTTCATTCAAACTTGCATGATTTTATTAACCAAATTATTTGATGAGTTATTGTTTGTAGTGTATTTTTAAAGATAAAAACGACAGTAAAATACAAGTAATTTTTTTTTTTTTTCAATTTTTGAGAAAAATCTGCAATAAACTCCTAATTATGTATTAATGCAAAAAAGTGCAGAGATTTGTTGATTTTGTGTGAACGTCCACAATAATTCTCAAGAAACTGGAAAAACTGACATAATTTGGCAGTAAACGGATAAAAACTGCATTAATTTGACTGATTAAAATAATATTTAAGCACACTTAGTGTTTAGTCTAGGATCTAGAGGGCCACATAAAAAGCTACGGCGGGCCAGATTTGGCCCACAAGCCTCGAGTTTGACACATGCAGTTTAAATGAAAACTATCTTTCTCATTTATATGCATATAAGTGTATTTTGCTGTTGTGATATTCTTATTTACTTCATAATGAGAACATCTGACTGTGGTTTTGAACCAAGGAATCTACAAGCGTGACCATCTTTTTTTATCACGTTGAACCGTCAATATTTAGACAAGTTCGGATTGTTGGTGTTTAGTTCCCCCCCCCCCACCCCCTAAAGAACACTCCTACCACACCTTCCTCTTTAGGTCTGAGAACGATGCGCAGCGTTTAATTCCTCTTTAATCTGTGCTGTGAGCAAACAGGTTGTGGTTTTGTTTCGCTGCGCAGCTGCAAGCTCCTCTAATAACAGAGCAGCCGCTCTGAGGATAGAAAGACGGCTTCCATCAGCCTGTGGTATGCAACTTTCTCAAAGGGAGCTTTGATGGTAAGACGCTTTTAGAAGAAGAAGAAGAAGAAGAAGTCATCAGCTGAAAGTGGGGAAGAAAATCTGACCGTTCACAAATGTGTATTGATGAAATATCGACCCCGGGGACATGGAAGCAGAACCTTGATGTGCTAAAAATGCACTGCTGGGTTTCTGTTTTAACACGTTTCACTGTAGGAGCATCCAGGTAGCGTCTGTAACATGAAACATGAAACAATAGATGTACAGCTCTGAATGTTGTCACTTAGACGTAACCACACTTAATTTATCCTAAGACTCTGCATTTTTGATTTCTGATTTTTCATCATGAGGGATTATAGATAATAGTTTTAAATAACTGTTTACGTGCACCTAAATAATGCTAAAAGGCTTTGTGATTAGTCCCCCTGTCAGATAGCGCCATCTAAAAAGAACAATGTATAGGAGCAGAGGAAGAAACGTCATTCAGGCAACTTTCAAAGTGGAGGAGGCGTCGGCGTTGTGGTGTTACACGTCATTCACATCAGATAAAATCTTGTCAACACTGTTTCACACAAATCATGTTTTACATTAAGATGCATCATATGTACAGTTCCTATTAAATGTATACAGTCCCCTGGATGTTTTATGATTTTTGTGGCTTTTTCAAATCAATCAACAAAAAAAAGAACTGATTTCTGTGAAATGACAGTTAAATACAAATATTTGACAACAATAAGTGATTTATACACTATATATATATATATATATATATATATATATATATATAATATTACATTAGTTGAAATGGGTTAATTTAGAATTGGATGAAACGGCTGGTAATATCTGCTGAACACACTAGTGCAGGATTTCTCTTAATGGATTCAAAGAGATAATTATCACCCTGTAATTATCTTGTACAAATCATGTTATTATCCAAAATAACTACCTCTTTTTCAGGGAGAAGTGAATTCAGCTTTTTGTTTCTTTTATATAATTATTTCCACCTTTTGTTCTTGCCAGGTGTGTAAGATCCCTGCATAGGTAGAAATGACTATATGAATAAATGTAACCTGTATATTCTGTGCTTGTAGCCAGTTGAAGATGTGGAGGACTGCACTTGCCCAACATCTACTTCACCAGGTACAGTTTGTTCAATTCAGTTCAGTTTGTTTTTTTCGCACCAATTCACATGTCATTTTAAGCCACTTTACACAAAATATCAGTCTTACACCGCTTCATATTGACCCTAGTTATTACATCATACTGTCAAGTTTGGTTCGGTATCCACACCGGCTAAAAAGCTTAACAGTTTTTAGGGTTGGAAAAGTAAAGTGAAGTAAAAAGTTAACGATAACAGTAGCTCCATCAGAGGCTTCATGTGGAAGAGAAACACAGAAACACAGATAAACTGTGTGTGGGTTTTGCAGTCTACACTTTGAAAGAGAGCACAGGAAGTTAGTAAGACCTCAACCAGTGACTGTAAGATAGACACTTAAACACTGAAAGAAAGGATCAACTAATTCATCCATAGCAGGAGAGAGTTAAGTCGGACCCTAACAACTAAAGGATCTGTTTCCCATTCTACTTTTAGAACCTCTTGGAATCACCAGTGTACCTACAGTCTGAGAGCAACGTGCTCTGTTTGACACACACAAAACATCATGTGCCATATGTAATTATTGCAGAATCATTTAAGCATGAAAACTGCAATTTTTGTCTCAAGTGTTTATTTCAAAATGCTACCTGGAATGACAACTTCCATAATCTGGATGTTAATCTCTCAGTTTATTCTAAAATCTCTCCAACGAGCACACAGAAAAACGAATGGAAACCCTCCATTATCTATTATAAATTTGTATTTTCTATGATTTAATGACATATTTAATCAATTAGCCGTAATAAATAAATTGTTTTGACATTTAAACCAGTAGCTAACTTTCACAAAAGCTCCTCTTTTCCCCTACTGCACACCTCGGTCAGAAACAACCAATCAGAGCCAGGACGAGGGTCTTAGCGCTGTCAATCATGCTCATGTACATGCTGCTCACAGCCTCCCCCTCCTTCACCACACCAGAGCCTGCCGTGATACCTCAGGCTAGTTAGCATGGCCACCGATGACCCTGGATAAAGTTTTCCTGTCACAAGAAGCTGCTACTCTGCCATTAGACTCGAAACAGCTGCAGCAACCTGGCAGTGTTGAGCAGTTCGTACACTCACAAGAAATGTTTTCTTGTTTCTGTTATTTTAATGCAATCCAGAGGAAAATACATCAGACTTTAAGATAAGCATCTACTTTTGTGGAGGCATCCCCATTATTAGTAATCATTTATTTGCAGCTGCTGCTCCTTACAGTAATGCCAATGGAAACTGGCTGCTTGAACTGATTTTAGTGAATGAATTTAAAACTACAATTTAAATATGTCTTGCTGATTTTCTGAAGTTGTACTTAAATGATCTAAAGAGGACCAGGAAATTTTGTTGGGGTTTTTTCTCTTATGACTCATTTTTTTGGCAGTAATGATGAATGAAATGATTCCTATATTAGTTAGTGTGATGTTGGAGACAGGCTGGGTTCCACATAGTCTCTGAAGTTAGCTCCTCTTTTTTTCCCTTTTGTGCTCAGACTGTCCCAAACAACTGCAGATTCTCGCCAGCCCTTGTGAAAAATGCTGCTGCCCGGCGCCCCCACCCAAGATCAGCGACCTCATGAACGACAAAGACCTACTGGACTCGCTGCGGCTGAAGCTGGACCCAAACCACTGCACCATCAAAAACTGGAAGAACTTTGCGAGCCGCTGGGGAATGAGCTATGACGAACTCACCCTGCTGGAGCATCGGACCCAGGGCTCCTTGTCTCACAGCCCCACCCAGGAGTTCCTGTTGCGCTACAACCAGAAGACGGTCACCGAGCTCACCGAACTGTGCCGCATCTATCAGCGCATCGACGTGCTGCGGCTGCTGCAAAGCTGGATAGAAAAGGACTGGCCGTCACGTTGGCAGCAGACTCACTAATAAGTTGAAGAATATATATTTATCTGTTTGTTTCCTCTCCCAGGGTGTACATGTTTTGGATTTCTTCTCTTTTATATTTTTTGGATCCAAGCTACAGGTGTGTTTTGCTTTTGTTTTTTTTGTTTAGGCAAATACTTAGAAAACGAACCTTTGAAAAGAAAACAGGTAATGAACAGAAAAAGGAAGAAGAGTGTCAGTCTTCTGGTCAGTAACGCTGATTACAATAAATACGTGACTGAAACGTGGAACACAGATGTATAGGTAACAGAATGATTCATATCCTTCAGCTCTCCACCTGTGATGTCAGTGCTTTTGTAGAGCTGTCTGACGGTTCACATCTCTTCCAATATAAAGTCAGAACAAACACATGATGCATCTCCTCAAAAGTGCTGTTGTGTAGTTGAAGACAACAATAAATGAGATGTTGTGTTCACTTGATTTGTATCACAGCACTTGCTTTAACCATAACGCAGCCAATTCACTTAATTTCAAAAATACTGTTTGTGTCCCAAAGAGAAACTAAATGTTGCCGTTACTAATGGCATCCAAGTATCTTCAAAGAGCCGCAGCCGTTGGTGATACTGTGGGCAAAAAGGACTGCTGCTAGCCATCAGTGAAACAAGGCTTGGAGAAGTACAAAACAGTCTTTTCACAGATTTAACACTGGTGTTTGGTTGTTGTAGTGGTTCGCATCGTCACCTCACAGCAACATGTTCTATAATAAAAAAACCTCAGCTGTGCAGCCCATTCTCTCTTTGTGAATGCATGGATTTTCTCTGAACCTTCCTCTCAGACCCCTAAAATAATACTTTTTACATAAATGGTTGATGTTGAATTCCTGTTAGGACTGAGTGTAAACTGCCGGCTGTTTGACATACTTGTTCCCAGACCAGGAAATACCTGATACTTTCCCGTTGCTTGCTTTGATAAACCTCTCCTCCTCATGTTGTAAAACTAACTTTAATAGGGTATAGCTGCACAAAAGTCACAGCTCCATACTTATTTGAATTTTAAAATCACAGTTCCGTACTTTTCAGTAGCTTCAATCAAGACAGATTTCTGAAATTAATTCGATGTTATGTTCCAAACATTAAAAAAGTGAAAAGTTAAGAACTGACTGGAGATTTGGTTGGATTTTTTTTTCCAGTGAATGAAGTACACACAGGCAGAGCCAATGTCTGAATACACAGAATATAGAATATAGAACATAGCCACTTGAAAATGGTCAGTGTTCATGTTTAATATGTTTTAAATGACATTGTGCCCATATTTGAGAATAAAACATGTTTAAATCACTTTGGAGTCGTTTTGCTATTTCAACAACCTAATGTCCAAGCTGTTGGGGAAAATCCCCTCCCTAAACTTACTTGTATTTTATATCTATAATGTATGACGTTTGGTTTGACTGCATGCTGCAGGTAGCCATTTGAGAGTCAGGAGCCTCATGTTTAAACGTTTCATATGCAACGTTTCTTGCACAAGTTGCCTTGTATGAAAATGAATGTTGCATGAACATTTATTCACATATAGATGTGAATAAACTTTTGACCTGCTGGACAAATGTGCGACAGGTACGCAAACCTTTTCTTTGGACAATAATATCCGAGTCCACTGTTATTTAATTTAAGTAGCATTGAATCCAATGCTTTTCATGATTTTAACTTTTTATTGTTTAAACCCAATTGATGAACTGAACCACATTTAGCCTAATACAATAATTCAACACCTAAAAAAAAGATGTGAAAACATAAATTGGATCTAAACAGCAAATTTCCTCAATTTTTGTCACATGTAGATGTAAATACATTACTACATGTAAATACGTCTACGTTTAGACGTATTTACATGTAAATGTGCGCTGTTGCATATGAAATGAATGTAAATGATCTCACTGAAAAGCAAAACGGCATCAGGTCAGTACTCCACACAAGTCAGGTATGATTGTTCTTAAGGTGGACAGATCACAAAAGCCCATTAACAGCTGTGCAAAGATGCATATAATTGTGGAATAATGGCAGCTTTTGCACTGCTGGAGGACATCACCAGTGGAAGGGGTCAGAAGGAGCCTGTGCTCAGAAAGGCTGCCATGTGACGATGACTGGCTTATTAGCCACTTCAGATTCCCCAAGGCAATGATCCTGGAACTCTGTGACCCCAGCATTACAGAGCTCTCTAATTCTTGCAAATTGGGATGTACAAATTTGTTACAAATTTGATGTGCAGTCACATGCGTGCTCACAGTTCTATGCATCAGAATTATTTTTAGTGTTGCACTTTTTCAATATTTGTCTCTACTCCCAACTTTTTGTATTAAAGCTGCATATTCCTTTATGCAAGAGCCCTTAGCCCCTAGAGCCCCTAGTATCTGTCATGTTTGAATTCAGCTTGACATTGTTTCATGTGAGCAATTCAGGTAAATGCAGATCTAACTGGCATAAAGCTTACGACACATTTATAAATATGTCGACAGCACAAAATGTGCTATTGACACATTTATAAATGTGTGCTGTCAATTTCGCCTGTACGAAAGTGTCGTACAGGCGTACGACACTTTCCATACCAAGATTGTGATCTACAAAAAACAAACTTGATGGTGGGAGAATATGCTGATGTGCTGACTCATCACTGTAAACATTTAAATACAGAGGTGACACTTGTGTGAATGCTGCACAATGGATGCAGTGGCACTGCTGGAAGACCTCGCAAACAGGAGAATTATGACACATTTTTAAGAATCTCTAATATTTCCTGGCCATTAATGTGGAAGTCAAATGTGATGTTTAGTGGCACAATGGTCTGGCTCAACACATGACTCTTTCATTATGGCACAAAGCAATTATTGAGTCTACATTTCATGGGTTGGCTAATCTGTGTTTGGCCATCGTTTTGTAGAATTGGTAACACTTGCTCTTTATTTCCCAAAGTTCTGAGGAGGAAACCAAATATTTCAACTGCCTGAAATAATCTGTTCCCCCTCCATAACATGGGAACAAATTAATTTACCAGCATGTCTAATCCTCTCATCACCAACAATAAATCCTGTGAATTTGGTATTATTTGTTCTTTATTTGCCAAAATTATGAAGGGGGGAACCAAATATTTCAGGTGCCTGAAATAATCTATTCCCCTGTTCAACTCTCTTTGGAAGGGCCCAGGCATAAGCAAATTAAGCAGCCACTTAGGGCCCCAGGGCCACTAAAGGGCCCCCTCAGTGGAGCTGATTTTTTTTTTTTTTTTAGTAATAATTTCTGTCATAGTATCAAAGACACATAATTTCACTATGAAATTATTTGTTTTTACAATAATATTTGATCATGTATGTAGAAATTATTTTATTGATAATAAGAAACAAAAATAAATTGCTCTTTGGGGGCCCCTGGTGGCCGCGGTAGGTACCGCACATTTTGCCGGTAATATGAGCTGTCGTGCAACATGCAGACCATCCAAACGTCCAAAGCTCCGGTCAGAAGTTAAGTAAGCAAAACAATGTCTCAAAAACATTGTTTTGGGAAGGAGAAAAGAAAGAGGAAGAATAGAATAAAAGCCAAGATAAAGGTGCCTTGGTAATGTAATGCAATTTAAAAGATTTGTAAAGCTGCCAATAGAAAATTAGCTTGATAGCGACCTGGAACGGTCCAGTTCAACAGCCAAACATTTATGCTAGGGTCTTTGTATTTGTGTGAAACTGAGTTTTAACTTTAAATGAGTTGATTCTCATGGTTGACTCTGTATATTTCTGAGGTATTTTTGGCTTCAAAATGCCGTGTTTGATAACATTTGATAACAATAATTAAAACTTCTCAATGTTTGACATTATCTAGCAAAATGTTTTTATGTCAGGCTACATAGCTGCTACATCGATTAGCTACTCTATGCTCTAGTTGGGGAATATGTTGTTTGCTGCTGAGCATAATCATTTTGTGGCTAAAACAAACATTATTTTTACATCAACTTCTAAGTTATGTGAAACTTCTGTTAAAGGCTCAGAATCAACATGGTACTGGTCCCAGTCTGCATTCCAGGGGAGAAAGACTCACCTGGTATAAATTAAATTTTTAGCTATTGGAGTTACGCTTAAGAGAAATTTATTTAATCAAAGAATGTCATGAATATGTGTGTAGGGCTGCACCGATTGCAGTTTTCTGGCTGATCCCAAGTTACCAATCTTTAAAAAGCCTGACCTGCCGATTTTGATTTTGGCTGATATAATTTTTTTTTTCGCTAAATGTAGCAAGAAAGTCACTAAGTTGGCAACAGTGAGGTGAATATTGTTAACTGAAAACGTGCAGACCTGACTTGGTGGGCCGGTCTGTCAGTCAAACCTCTCACTGCAGAGCAGAAGAGGACAGAGGCTGATTTATAAACCTTTGCTGACGAAGATAAGATTAGGGGATAAGATGGGCTTCAGATGTAAGTATCGGCCAATCACAATCCCTCAAAATTAAGGAAATTGGTGCCCAGAAATCAACTGGTCAATAAATCAGTTGGCCAATAAATGTTTCCTACACATACATACATGTAAATAATGTAAACAGCACTGCCTGACATGCAATAAGTTTATAGGAGGTGTGTGAATGATCTAATGATCGGACTGCTGATTGCAGCCAGTCCACATTGTTAGTAAAACTAGAGGGCCCCAAAACCGAATTTCGCTTAGGGCCCCATGGAGGCTTGGGCCAACCCTGCTCTTTGAAGGTAAAGTTACTTACCCAAGTAACTTTAGCAAATAAACAGCAAATGTTACCAAATTCACAGGATTTGTTGTTGATGAAGAGAGGATTAAACACAGTTAAAGACTTGCTGGTAAATTAATTTGTTCCCATGTTATGGAGGGGGAACAGATTATTTCAGACAGCTAAAATATTTGGTTCTCCCCCAAGTAACTTTGGCAAATAATGAGCTTTGGCAAATAAAGTTGGTACTTTGTAATAAAGTCTAGCTTTTAATTTGCCAAGTCCCTTTTGAAAAAGAGATTGTACAACTCAGCAAGGTTTTTAATCTCATTAAATGATTATAAGTTTATATTTCAATGAAATTCACATCAACATACTAATTTTTAACAGCTGAGATGTTTAGAAACAAAATTAAACTGCAAGTACTCTATCTATCCATTATAGCTCTTTGAAAATAAACCATCTGGTTCTCCTAAAACAAAGGAATCAGACTTGAGGATGTTTCAGTGATTTATTAAGCAACAATTACATTCACAAATTGATCTTAAAATGTTAAATTGTAAAACAGTACTCAGAGTTCTGTTTACTTTGATAACACACAGTTTACAGTTTGCAGTTTAGGTAAAATGTATTCAAATGAAAAAGTTTAGAAAAAAGCTTGCATAAATAACAGGAATATCGACTTAGCTTATTAAAAAAAATTGATTCTATTACCATAATACAAACAGATGTGAATTTGATTTAAGTACAGGTATGTACAGACAGCATTTCAGATTTAAGTCCTAGTTTTTAAGAGTCAGACAGCATCTGAATCATCAGAGCCAAGACAAAGCATATTGGCAAGACCCTGGGATAGTCTCTGATTTTCATCTGCTGAACCCTGTACAGACCTGGGCTTTTCTATTTTTAAAGTACCTAGAGAGGAATCTTCTGCTTCTGTAGAGGCACTGACGTCTAGACTAGGAGCAGCAAGTCTCGGATTAGCATCTTCCGTTTGTAAGACACTGGAGGGTTTTTCCTTTGACAATTTCAATATCTGCATAACATCAATTTTGCCCGCTGCTGTTGCTGTATTACTTACTGGTAGCCTTATCCCTTTTCTTACAACAAAGTCCTGTTCTTCATTGTCACGTTTTGATAAGCCAAATGGATCAGAAAAATCACCAAAGGCATCAATGGTTGATTTGGGTAGTGAATGTAATCTGAATATAGGAATATCAGTTTCAATATCTGAACCATCGTCATCATCATTGTCATCATCATAATTATCATGGCTTGCACTGGCATTGATCTCTCCAGTTTTCAGCTTCGACCCTAAAAAGCTGAACTTTGGTATTTTGAAATGTGGCAATCTGGACTTCTCAACATTGGCATCTACATCTGGAGCGTTAATGTCAACTTTGGGTCCTTCCACCTTTGGTCCATTCAGTTCCACTGCAGGAACAGAAATGCTGGCATCAGCTGTAGGACTGCTCAAGTTAACTTTGGGTGCCTCAATTCCTGCATTTGGACTTGAAAGATCAAGTGCTGGGACATTGAAATGAGGCATTTTGAAGTCTCCAAGACGTGAATCTAACTCTAAATCTGGTGTTTTTATTTGTCCATCAGGTGCTTCAAGGGCTAGTTTTAGTGGGTTGGTCTCCAAATTTGGAGATTTTATTGTGACATCAGGCGCTTCCAGTTCAGCGTTTGGCATCTTGGCATTGAGATCTAACTTTTGGCTTTGCAGTTGTGTTTTCGGTGCCTTTAGATTGAGGTCTGGTGTGTGTATTTTACCATCAATCTTGGGAGCTGAGAGATCAATATCAGGATTAGAGAGATCAGCATCTAAATCAACATCAGGACCATTTACCTTCGGTTTAGAAATTGCCCACTTTGGCTTTTTAAAGGTGGGCCATTTGATCTTTCCAGATGGAGAATCAATGTCCATCTCTGGTTTCTCAATGTCAACCTCAGCTTTAGGTAAATTCAGATCAACGTCTGGTGAGTTAATTTTACCATCAATCTTTGGAGTTGAGAAATTAACATCTGGTGCCTTCCAATCTGCGTCCACTTCAGCTTTTGGGCCATGAACTTTAGATTTTTTCCATTTCAGATGAGGCCAATTAACTTTTCCTGAGGGAGGATCAACATCTGGAGCTGTGAGATCAGCTTTGGGGAGATTCAGTTCAGCTTTGGGAACATTAATATCACCCTCAATTTTTGGAGATACGAGATTTACATCCGGTGTATTTAAATCTCCATCTATTGCCAAGCCTCGAGCTTTACGTTTCTTCCATTTCAAATGAGGCCAGTTGATTTCACCAGATGTAGATTCTACATCAAAGTCTGGGCCTTTAATATCTGCCTTTGGCAGGTTCATATCAACATCTGGGGGATCCAGCCCCCCCTTCACCTTTGGAAGAGAAAGGTCAACGTCTGGAGGATCAATATTTGCATCTATATCCAAATTATCCTTTGAGCCATGAAATTTTGGTTTCTTCCACTTCAAGTGGGGCCAGTTGATTTTACCAGATGTAGATTCTACATCAAAGTCTGGGCCTTTAATATCTGCCTTTGGCAGGTTCATATCAACATCTGGGGGATCCAGCCCCCCCTTCACCTTTGGAAGAGAAAGGTCAACGTCTGGAGGATCAATATTTGCATCTATATCCAAATTATCCTTTGAGCCATGAAATTTTGGTTTCTTCCACTTCAAGTGGGGCCAGTTGATTTTACCAGACGGGGAATCAACATCTACCTCAGGGCCTTTGATGTCTGCTTTGGGAAAGTTGATATCAACATCTAAATCCCCATCAACCTTTGCCGTGGGCACATTGGCATCAGGCACTGACATTTCAGCATCTAGGTCAGTATCTGGTCCTTTAACTTTGGCACTTTTCAATTTGAAATGTGGCCATTTGATTTTGCCTGAAGGTGCCTCAATATCAGCATTGGGGGCTTCTAATTTTAGATTAGGGTCATTCAAATTTACTTTTGGCTCATTGAATTCCAAGTTTGGCTTATTAAAATGTGACTTTGGAGTCGATAAATTGAGATTTGGTGCGTCTACCTTTCCACTTACAGATGGAAGACCCACATCACCAGAAACATCCATTTCTGTTTTTGATGGTTCAGTTTTTGGCAATTTGAAGTTTGGCATTTTGAACTTTGGGGCCTGGTATTCACCTGATTTCAAATTTGGTTTATCAACTTTCAAGGATGCATTTGGTATCTTGACTTGTGGAGCTGACACACTGACATCAGGCGTTTTAAGCGAGCCGTCTATATCTGCTTTTATTTCTGATCCTGGTAGTCCTATAGACGGCATTGTGACTGCAGCATCAGCATCGGCCGATGGCTTATTAAGGCTGAGTTTGGGGAGGTCTCCGTTGATAGTGGGGCCAGTTATTTTACCATCCACTCCATGTTCAGCATTTAGCCCTCCACTAAAACTTGACTTTGGAGTTGATAAGTTGAGATTTGGTGCATCTACCTTTCCACTTACAGATGGAAGATCCATGTCACCAGAAACATCCATTTCTGGTTTTGGTAGTTTGAGTTTTGGCAATTTGATGTTTGGGGCCTGGTATTCACCTGATTTCAAATCTGGTTTATCAACTTTCAAGGATGCATTTGGCATCTTGACTTGTGGAGCTGACACACTGACATCAGGTGTTTTAAGCGAGCCGTCTATATCTGCTTTTATATCTGATCCTGGTAGTCCTATAGACGGCATTGTGACTGCAGCACCAGCATCGGCTGATGGCTTATTAAGGCTGAGTTTGGTGAGGTCTCCGTTGATAGTGGGGCCAGTGATTTTACCATCCACTCCATGTTCAGCTTTTAGCCCTCCACTAAGGCCGTTGAAGGAAATCGTTGGCAGGTCAGCAGATGAATCCAGTGAAAGATCTGACTTTAACAGCCCCTATAAAATGGCAATTAAAAAAAAACATAGATTAAGACATGACTTGCCAAAAAAAAAGTAAATCTCAACTTTGCTTTACTATTAGTCACACATTGGCTCCACACACTACAGTACTACCTGTGCTAAAGAATGATTTTGATTTCAGTTTTATTTTTGGTGATAGAACTGAATCAATTTGGTTGCTTTTGCTCCTAAACAATAATATTTACCTCTGTAGAGTTTTTGAGACCCAATCCAAACGAGTCAAGCCCAACACCAGCACTCAGGTCCTTTTTCGTCAGAACCTTCATATTGTGTTCATATGGCTTTAGGGTCTCCAGGATGGTACGCACATCACTTTCGTCAAGGTTGCTTAGATTTATCGTGGCTCCAACAATATCCTCCTCTGGAACAACGAGTAAAGAAACTGATTGGAGATACAGCTTTAAGTTTGTAAAACACACACACTGTACAGAATATTTATCTTTTAGTTTGCAGGTCTGTAGCTTACCTGGTTTTTTGTCACTTTTTGCAGCGATACTGTTATCTGCATTCCCTTTAATGGAGAGTCCTTCCCTGGAGCCATCCAGAGCCAGGCTTCCTGAAATGCTTGCACTCTTGCTTTCCCCGCTCTGTGAACAGCAAGGAAAAAAGAAAAAAGTGAGGCGGGTTTATAGCCACATCTTTATTATTACTATATATTTCTTTACTTACCATTTTTTTGTATTTATGCCCTCATGTCACGGAATGAACGACAAAATGTAGTAGAATCAAAGAAATCTCACCCTAAAAGAAAGCACAGAAAAACCTTTGTTGGATAAACTCTGATATAGAAGCACAACAACAAAAGATGAAATCAAATCTATTCTAGTCGATATTTAAATCTGAGCATCCTACTAAGATTATAAAACATAGTTTCTAATCTGGTTTTATATTCCAAAATTGCTGAGCTTCTGTGTGAAGCTCTGCTGAAAATGAGCAGGAGTAGCTATGTATTGGTTTAGTAATTTAATTAGAGCTATAACTTCTTTCATGTTAAATGGAAATTATGAAAAGCTTGAACCCGCTAGCAGTGACTGATGAAGGTTGATGCAAACAGTGCAAACTGTACCTTTAAAATGAAAATAAGTTGATAGAGATTCTGAAGTCAATGGATCCAAAAACAAAGTAAAAATCCAGCAAGTTGCAGATATTTCAGGTAACTGCATCCTGCTTAAGTTAATTTTTTTGTGGTTTTTTTTTTTATTTTTTTAAGAAGCTATAAAATTTGCCTGACAGAGAAACACCCACAATCAGGCTGTCTCACGCTTCAGGAATCCAAACACTCTGCCTGGTTTGGTGAAGGGAATGTGTCCATCCAAACCTGTCGGTTCGGATGTATTCTGGCTGACACACACAAGCAGCCCTCCTGCCAACCACGCCTCAGTGTTTTCACACGTAAACACAGGTTCTGTGCAAAGGTGCATTAACAACAACAGCCCAGGCCTCAAATGTAGCCATGCTAGATTGCAAAAGAAATTTCAAACATGAAAAAATAAAATAAACTCAAGGCTGATTCATAGATCTCAAACAGTAAAAAACAAAAAACTTTCCTTTGACTAACATTAATCTACACTGAAATAAACTGAATGGAATATAAAAGCCATGAAGAAATTAGCTATGGTTATAATCACTACAGCTTTAGAGATTTTTGTTTTCTTCTCAGCTGCATTGGAATCATTCATTTCCAATGAAATGTCCAAATAGAGTAGGATTTACCAGAGCCTATACTTCTTATAATTTCAAACCACCAGAAGTTGCAAGAAATTAGGAAAAAGAATTCACTAAATCCACAAAACACCTAAAAGAAAAAAAAAAGAAAAATATATATATAATGATAAAGCCACTGTGGTTAATGGGGAAGTCTTCTAAAACAACTGTGACTTGAAGAAAGCCACTGGGTGTGAGTCTGATCTGCAGAGTCATGTTTCCTGTCACTAGTTACCCCGACAGCAAAACAAATGAAAGCATAATCCAAGATGCAACGCAGCACACAAGCTAGCTGAAGAGTCGGATTTTAACCAGAAACTGCTAAATGAAAACAACAATGAAAACCTTAAATGAGTGTGTGGACCAAATCCGTGTTTTGAGCTACAAGTGAAGACAGTACATCTTTCCAATTCCTCCAAATCACCAAACCTCTGCTGTAAAATAGGTGAGGCCTCAATTTAACCCAAATGACAAAAGAAGAAGCTTTTAGTATAAATGCATTTACCATAAATTCCATCCATTTAAACCAAACTACAGGCCAGTTTTATACATAATTGCACACTTTTTTTTTTTTAATCTTGTCATCCTGATTTAATCAACATCTCTTAAGTAAAGGCAACATACTTTAGGGACTCACCTCGTAGCGCTGCCAGAGATGTCCACTCTTCAAGGTATCACTGCTGCTTTGTTAGGATGAGAGGAACTGGCCTGTTAAATGCCTGTAATCATCTGGAGGAACGGGTCGGACAGCATCAGGACCGCCCTGTTCTTGCGCCCTCTTTCATTTGCAAAAAGGACACTTTCCTACACACACACCTTCTAGGTTGGTCTCTTAAGCGGCCGAAACCTAAGCTAGAAAGTGCGCCTAAGAGATAGAAAAACATACCACTCCTTTTTAAAGAGAACAAGGTTTACAGATGGGAACAAATACACGGTCTTAAAGCAAGCAGTGCAGAGTTTCTTCTGTTTCTTTTTTTTTTCTGCTTTTATTGAACAAACAGTGGCGCATAGATTTCCCAAATCCTTCCTCTTTAGAATTTATCTCTCACGGTTTAAAAATTATACATTATACTAAATTACTGTCTCTTCCCTACAGAACTAAAAGCTGTTTTGAGTGTGCTTTCAGTGTCATTCATTTCAGATGATCACATTATAACACCTGAGTGGCAAAGCCTGTACGCCTGTTCCTCCTATTGAAATGATCAGCATCTATCACAACAGTAAAGGAGACATTGTTTGATGGCTTCAAGCATGTAGTCTGGAATCTTCACACCACTTAAAGCCATGTAAACAATTCAGTGCCGTGCTAAACTTTAAACAGACATAGTCGTCATAGAGATGTCATTTATAAAAGTATGCATTTGGTTCACGAGTTGAAAAATGTTACATGTTTCAATTATAAATGTAGAAAAAAATTTGTACATTTCTTGACTGATGTGAGGATGAGTTAGGACATCTGGATCATTTCAAACTACGCCGAGTGATGCTGAAACATCAGGACTGAAGGGAGAATATTCTGATCTGGGTTAGGATTTCATGAAAAAGAAAAGAAAAATCTAAAAAAAAATTTTTTGCCCATCTTGAACCATACAGTCCATAATCCAAGATGGTTATCTTGGAAGCATACCGTTTCTCCATCTCTGTAACCGTATACAACATCAGCTCAACATGCATCGCTTTCCCCAGGGTCAGATGTGAGCCGACTCAATTCTGAGAACATTTACTGCACAATTCTCTGGGGGAATGGAGTGTAGAGTCCCAGTTTTATATCAGAACCTCCACCTGACCATTTAGAATTATGTTAAAGGCTATAATGAAGTGATCCTCAGTGCAGTCCAGTGGAATCTAACATGTAGGCAATAAATCTGAGCTCATGTAATGAAGAAAACCCATCATGTACAAGTTGGACATTTTATTTAGCCATTTTTGTTTCAGCAGTTGATCAAGGAAGCCGTCCAAAATTCTTGGCAATTTCGATATCAAAACTAAATGAGTCACTACCTAGTCCATCCAGTAGAAAAGTACAATGTGATGACTGTTGGCAAGAGAAACTAACCAGGGTGTTGTCTGTTCAAGATCATAACTGAAGGATGAGCAATTGTAGCTAGAATTCCTAATAGGGAGAGGTGGACCGAGTGAACCAGAGCCTGGTAATCTGCTGCCAATGAGAAGAGTGGAAATAAAAGCTTGCCGCTTCATTAGTTCTGACTTTAGGTTCATCATTCTGATACCAGCACAACAAGCTTTATAGAACAATAACTTATGTTACAGCAGCAACACTTAAAAATAGTCTGTGGTTTTGAATCCACTTCAAAAGTAACCATAATGACAACTTGTTCAGCTGACCCCCTTCTTTAAATATCAATAGTTATGTTTGCGAATCTGAGAAATGTAAACTTTTTAAGAGAGTATTTTCTCTCAACTTTTTATTTTTTTTAACTCATTCTACTTTGATCCCTGTTGAAATAATTACATTTCAGAGATGGTGATGCTTTTCTCCAAGCAAAGCACAGACAGGAGCCTAACAGAGAACGTCTTTACAAGACGTGGAAAGCAAATCACTCAGAGGAAGAAGCTGCACCATGATGAGATGCTACCTAGGTCTGCCCTGACAAATTCTCTGAAAGTCCAAAACTAATGCATCTGTTGATCCAAATCCAGGCCTGTTTGGGGGTTGAGAGGTGATGTGGGGAGAGCGGGGGGTAACAGGAAGGTAAGATTTGGGAGTGAGGTTTTTTTTTTAACGATGTGAAATGACAAGAACAGACTTACAGAACCTGCAGAGGACCTCAGCAAGGCACAATCCTGGGAGACAGGTGGGTGTGCCAAAGACTGAAATATCAAAAATCAGCTGCATAAATTACAATACTACAGGCAGGAAATCATTACTGGAGTAGAAACAGAAACAGGTAAGTGATTGCATTGATGAATGACACCTGGGAGGGAGCATGAACAAGTCAGAACAACGAGCTCAAACTGAAGGTGACAACAAAACTCAGTCCAACCAATCATGAACATGTTACAAAATGAACCGTAACCTCCAAACTGAAACATCCCAGAACATCAGCTTGAGTGGTCCAACTATGGTCACACACTGCCTGGCTGAGAACGAGCTCATTGTTTTCAAGGCTCGTGAAAAGCAGCACGCAAATACAAACAAACCCAAAGATATGAATCAAAGCAGTCATTCCGTACCTGCCTGAAGTCTCAGTGGGGAATTTTGGTCCAAAAACAACAACAAGATCAAACAGCAGCACAGGACAGCAGGCTGAGCCGGTTCAATCCAGAACCTCGGAGAAACAGACCTTCTAGGAGAAAAATAAATGCTGCTGCTGTGTGAGCAGCAGCAGCAGCCGTCAAATAAGGTATGTCCATTATCTGCAGCTAAAGAAGCAGCGCATGCTGTGGACATGACCTGAGCAAGTCTGTCTTTCACTTCTGACAAATTCAGCCAATATCAGCTGCTGATTCATATTAAATACTAATAAAAAATATTAGTATTTAATATGAAAAAGTGCCTGCGATGGACTGGCGACCTGTCCAGGGTGCATCCCGCATTTCGCCCAAAATGTCTCGCTGGATATAAGCACCAGCAGCCCTCCTGACCCCACTAGGGACAAGGGTGTACAGAAGATAGATGGATAGATGAAAAAGTGCAAAAACAACAAAAAAATAAACATAATTTTATTTTTTTGGTTTTTCACTTTGGCACTTGTGTAAACTATAAAACCCTCATGGTAAAAGAGTTCCACAATCACACCACAAAGACCTTAGGAATAAAAACCAGAACGGTCAGCCACCTCAAAGCCGTGGCTGCTGAGTGTAATGCAAATGATCAACCAGGCCTTTTAAATGCGACATGAATTCAGCTGTTTGTATAGTTAGTTTCTGTCCTCCCGTCCCCTCAGGTCCTGCCTTTTATTTGGAAGCATCACCCATAGCATGATGCAACCTCCACCGTGTTTTATTCAGTGATCTGACTCAGACCGTTTATAACATTTAGCGGTTCAACTGAACGTTGTGGGTGGACACCAGTGTCTTCACAGCAGTGGCATCGGTGTTGGACATGCCTGAACTTTGGGTTTCACCACAGTTTAACAGACGTTAAAAACAGAACAGTAAGGTGAGTTTTGTCCTACAGAGAAATTGCTTTCTTTTGACTGGACAACATACAAACACAAAGACTGAAGCTAAGCTTCTTAAATCTGACCCAAAAAAAAAAATAAAAATAGGAAAACAAATTAAAAACAAACCGAAGCGATTAAACAGGCTGTCGTAATTCACACATCTTAAAATCAATTTGTGAGAAGTAAAAGTTTTGTATGAATTTGTGTTGAGCAAACCGAGAGGTGCAGAGACTGCAGGTGCTGGTGGGGATTCTGTTTACACACGTCTCAGCTGCCGGTTGCTTTTTCTAGAATCAAACAGAAAAGAAAAAAAAAAAGGTGGTTCTATGATCCACGTTTCCTTCGCTAACTTCTCTTCAGGTCTTAACTTGTGGCCTTTAATGAATACCTGTGGAGCAGCATGAAGCAGGCTGGGGTCTGTGAAACAAAACGCGCACACACACACACACACACACACACACACACACAGTGCCTAATACATTTTCAATAGCTCTCTAAACTGTTTGCAGGTTTATCTGTCCATTCACAATGCAGCATTGTAATTCAGACTTGGCCTTCTACTTGGTACAAAGTAAAATTCCTGCATTATCACTGCTCTGTTGCAATACTGCAAGACGGCGGGAAGGTTGGGGGAGGTGTGCTGCATACTTGTTGATAGCTCACTGCAAGCAGCACATTGTTATTCCGGTACAACTGCTAAGTGGTACCTATCGCAACAAAAGGTATGAGGAGAATGTGCAGAAATGTGAGTGCCATACATGCCACAAAGCAGCACTGAAACCAACTCTGACACATTAGTGAAATATCCCAAAACTTCTATATTAGTTAACTCATCAGAGGCTGCTCCTAAAGATGACTTCTTTACCGTCCTGTGGAGAAAGGAAACACATTTCAAGGAGTTTTATTAGCACCACAAAGTTAAACAACAATAAGGGAAGCAATTTGCAAAATTATAATGTGCATAACAGCGAGCTGTGTAAAAACCATATTGGTGAATGAACAAAAGCAAATCAAATATCAGCAGATAAAGACAAAACTTAACTCTTCATTTTGTGTAGATCATCTTTCACAGATAAAAAAAAAAAATCAGCATTTCACAGAGAGAGCAGAAACACAAATAAAATAAAATGTGAGTAAACAGACCCAACTCTTGTAGTAACAACGTCCTCAGCGTCCCAGTGGTCTGCAGAGGTATTGGAAGAAGAGCTTCCGTCACAAACCTCTTTCGTTCGGTCCATAAATGTTCAATGAGGCTAATGCACTTGAACGGGAGCCACGGGAACCCATTCCAGAGCCTACGGGTATTCTTCTCTACTCGTTCCAAAGGCAGCTTTGATGCGTTTCGGATTATTGCTTTGTTGGAACAAGTCTTAACCTGCTGAAGCTGACATGCTGACATTAAGGAGAAGGTGACAATTTTGGAGGCATTTCTTTGTTATTCTTGTCTCCTTTGTGCAGCACACACTAGTCTGACTTAGCAAAGAAACAATCCCACAGCATGATGCTACTCCTACCATGCTTGACACCTGGTGTTCTTAAGCTCGAAATCTTCAAACAGCCAGATCATGGAGCTTTTCTCTAGAAAGCATTAGGCTTGTTGGTGTCAA